TAAATAGTAGACTATGTGTTCTTCCAGACTATATTCTGGAACCAAATTTCAGCGAGATCTGCTAACCAGTGCTGGAGATACAAACGTAGTAACAAACATCCATCCAAATTGCATATACCTTATTACTGTAAATTTAGTTTAATTTAATTACAGCTTAGTGTTGATGTTCTTATAGTGGCAGTGCTATTGTGTGTTTTTGTAAAGTAGTAAATTAACTATTCTTGTTTGAATAATGTTTATTTTTACTCACGACGTCAAACAGTACGCGAACTTTGATATCACATTTACGCTTACGTGTGAGTATGCGAGAACCAATAGAAGTGTTAAATCTACTTGTAAATAATTCACTAGTGTGTGTGTCAATGTAATTTATGGCTACAAGTAATGATACTACAATTTTTATATAATTGTACATTTTAACTTTAAATTACAATAACACTAGCATTCGCCCGCGACTACGTCCGTGCGAAATAATAAAAATAAAAAGTAAGTAGCCTATGTGTTCTTCCAGACTATCCTCTACATCTACGCCATTTGTAATATTAATAAGATTTTTTTCATCAGTTATAAACATTTATAATGCTTTTATTTCGTCTTAAATTGATTAAATACAGGCAACGCTAATATCTATGGCCAGTGGTTGCCTCGCTCTTTTGGCGAATCCAGTAGCCGCTAGTTTGTCACCTTTTTCAATAAAAATATCATATTTGGTGATGTAGCACGTTAACATAATTCACACTTTATGATAATGATTTCTTTTTGAAGTGTTTTCAAAATTGATGTTTTTAACAAATATATTGCTTATTTTTTTTCAGATATTCGACTTTCCTTGTATTGTATCCTCTCGGGATAACAGGAGAGTTACTATGTATGTATCATGCTCTCGACGAAATAGCTTCTAAGCAGTTATTCACAGTGCTAATGCCAAACACATGGAACTTCATATTTAATTACTATTATTTCGTAATATCCTATATGTTTATCTATATTCCCATATTCCCGGTGTTATTCGGACACATGTTGAAGCAGAGAAAAAAAATGCTAAACAAAGATATTAAAAAACAAGTATAAATGAATTGTTGACAGGCTTTATTTCGTAGGCAAATTAAATGTTTTCGTTATAAGTTACTTTATTCACAGTTTTTATTTATTTTCAGTAGCAATTATACCTATTAATATAAGGAAATAATAAAAATGTAACTTTTCAATCACGTCATATTTTTAACGAGGCACGTAGCCGATAGCGTCAAATATTTAATTTTGTAATGTAATCATACTAAAACTGAATAAATCTACATTTAAATTAAGAATTAAATGCATTTTTGAAGGTTAAATATTTCTTTATAATATAATTGAATATATATTTAAGGTAAATCGGATATTTTGTTAATTAGTAAGTACTTGCGTATAGACGCTAAAAATACGGGACGCTGGAATAGTAATTTATGTTTTTTTAGTTATTTATATTCTGCATTTGAATTGTTCGGGTTATGGGCAATGAGGTTGAATGAATACATATTTTTTCTAAAAAACTGATGTTTTTTTTAATCCTAATACCTACCTAATATAAAGATGGCCGACACCCAGAGTGGAGGGGGTCAGCTACCAACTGTCAGTAGTATACTGCGATTACCAGATAAAATCGCGTGTTAATTGAAGTAATCTATCAATACTTGTCTATATAATCAATAAATCTGTACCCGGATACCAGACATATCTATATAATTATTACCAGACAAGTTGCAAATAGACGTCATTAGTCATTAGGCATTTTCCTGTTATAAGTAAACAAGTGGCGTGGCGTAGAGGGTAACATTGGGTGGAAAAAGTCACTGCTCTAACAAGGTTAGGGCAAACTAATGAATGAGGTAAAAACTAAACATTATTGACTTGGCTCGACAGATAACATTAATTATTTACTGATTGTTAAAACACTACCTTAACTCTTAATTCTACGTCGGTGTCAGTCAATTTAGATTTATTACTTAAACGTTACTATACTTACAATTGTTAATGGTAAAAATGTCAAAACCCTTACGTAGAAATAAATATCACTGCATACCTCGGCTGACACCGACTTCAAAGTAATAATAATTGTACAATATAGACATAATAGCAATACAATACAACAATACAATAAGGGAGGTTTACTATTTTTAAGGATTTATTTCGTTACTTTTTAGTGTACTGTTTTTTTTGAGAATATTTTGTTTTTAGTGTATTTTGTTTGGAAGTCGGTTTTGTTTTTATCTTATTTTTAATTAGTTGTTCGTCATACTAGACACTACTGAATTAAAGGTTAACCTGTAATCTTAGGGTAAGCAGAGATTATGGATTGCCATTTGGCGTGTTCTTGGCACACGTCTCAAATAATTTTGTTCTTCAATTTAAAGATACACAGATTTTAGTGTACAATTTACAGGATAATAAAGAAGAAAGATTTTAATATCTCATAATGAATAATAAAAAATTAAAATATCTTGACTCATAATAAAACTCATTAATTACGTCTTAACAGTAAATATTGTAATTGGCTATCACAGTAATCTCGATCTGTATCCGAATTGTTATCAGATCGGTTTGCTTTTAATTGTGATAATGTTTGTTTCACAATTATCAATCGATCTTGGCCTTATAAAAGGTATTAGCTTGGAAAAATGATAGTTAATTAGAATACGTGTTGTATGATGAAGTTAACAGTGGCGGTATTGGCTATATGCCTTGTGGCGGCCGAGGCTAACATTGTTAAAGCCCCTTACACAGGGTAAGCTTTCTGATTTTTTTAACCACAATGATGTTAATGGTAGGAGTAAATTGCCATACAAGAAAATTTCTACGTAATTTGTCTGAACCGTAAGCTACTCGGCTTTAGTGATAATTAAAAGTACGGTTTTGTTTTCTGCCATCGAGTTTAAATGTAATTACTACAAGGTACTTTTTTAATTTGTCGATTAGCGTGGACGCTAACTAATAATGGAGGAAGTCAGGATTTGCGATTTTGTTTGTAATCGCTGTGACGTATGAACTAATGTATTCTACTTTATTTGTAAAATGTGTTTAGATTAAGATGGGGTCACGGCCAGACCGCGAACATCAACGAGTACATCGACAACACGGTTCAAATGTTGGTGCCCTTTATACAGAACAAAGGTCTCGACCCTATGACTCTGCCTGATGTCAGCGAAGGTTTTAAGGTGGTTAGTATCTGGCGTAGAATTAAAAGAATATTGTCTTTTACAGCATATCAATAATTACTCATTATCGATTGGAGAAATCTTTAACAGGTGTTATACGGTTTTTCTGAATTTTCCTTTTATACAGATAAAAAATGATTTAAATCTGTAAGCGAGTAAAAGGATAAACCGATTTGAAACAAATTAAAAGATAGTAATCGTATATTTCGTAAGTTTTATCGCTTGTAGGATTAGATTAATGGCTACTAGATTTAATAGTTTTTTATCCATTTATGAAATTAAATCAAATGTTTATTAATTTATTACATTACAGAAAACTGAAACATGAATTCGAATCATCAAAAGAAACTAACTAGAGGTCGGCCTGGCAAACTAATTTTAAATGTTTAATTCTATACAATCTGCTTACTTTTTAATACAAAGTTCAAAAGGCCCTACGTATGTTTTTCAATTTTACATATGTTAATTTTAGAATTCAATTGTTCTCTACGTACCTATACACTTGATAAATTCATTAAGTAAATATTTATATACAGGATATCTAAACAATACGATTTAATTGTAATTTTCTAATATTCTTGGTTCTTTTTGATTGCAGAAACCTCTGTGGATAACATACAGCGCATTGCTAAAGCTTCATGATGGTACCATGACGGGGCTGGTCAATCTGTCACGCTCGGGCGACCAAAAGGTCAACTATTTCGCCAAAATGTTGCGCGTCAAATTACAACTGCGTTTTGAAGACCTCGAGGTAGGTTCCGTGAAGTCCTATATTTATGGATGTTAATATTATAATAATTCCAAATAATCGATCCGTTTACTTTTTATTCGTTTATTCTTTATTACTCCTTTTACTTTGTAACCTTTTTTATTTTTTATTTCCAGTTCAAGTATAGGTACCTCGTAAAAGTAATGAACATTGGTCCTACTGGTGGAATCGTTGGTTCCCTGAACCGTTTAGATGTTGTAGCTGATGTCCTCATTGACTTCAACAACGACGAAATACAACTCCAACAATTGTCATTAACGAATATTGGGTAAGTCACAATTAATGACCTCAAGCCATTTTGGTGTGACGAAAGGTTTAACATTATTTGAATTAACTTAATGTTATTTTTTTTTCAGTCGTCTACGTGTGAAGCTTACGGGTAACGGTTTAGTAGATTGGTTGGTCAATCCCGTAGTTAGTGTGTTCCTCAGAATATTTGATTCGACTATCATCAAGGAGGTCGGGGTGATCATTCGCGGGGTTGTCCAGAACGCAATTACAGACATCAACGCAAATCTTAAAGATACCATTGCACGTCTTGAATCGTACAATTAATTAAAGATTGTTTTTGTTTTTTAAACAATAAAGGCATAAAATTAAGCAAAGTTTTTTTTTACTTGGCGGCTATTTCTTCACATTAATATTATGTCTGTAACATCCTGGACCCATTATCTATATAACAAGTACGGTGTACATAAATTATTTTTGTATTATAAGGAAATTAGTTGAAAGTAACAACTCTACCTTAATTAGAACCCAGAGTTAACACTGTCAAAAAAAGTATATTCACGACCTGTTTACTATTCTTTACATATCATTAATATGTCTTGGCCTCCAATATTTAAATGTATGTAATCGCTCGACATGACTGAAAATGATCTCGAAATTCCATCTTTAGCCTCCTGATGGCACAATAATTGTAATATCTTATTATAAATTCATATCACGACTGCAGTGTTGAGATAATACTTATTTGTGAGTAGATTATTAAATTCAACATTTTGTTATTTTTGAATATCCGTCTCAAACAAGTTTTAAGATCTAAAAATTATTATCTGCAAATTTTATTATCTATGATACATAAATGTCAAACTCAAATTGATTGTCGTGACTGTCAAAGTCAAGATCTTTTGAAAGCATGGTGTGATTGTTTCGTGATATTTATATGTAAATTTAAGGGATTTAACTTATTCCTTTTTAAACTGTGCTTCTAACACTTAATATAAAATCAGTATTCATCAAAATGGGAAAGGCAAAAAAATTAAAGCCATCCCAAATTGGTAAAAATGTTGCACTTGCGGATCAGATTGAAGCTGTAAATTCTGTTAAAAATAAAAGTCGCATTAAGCAGAAGAACCGACATGATGATGACGAAGAAGTGAGTATTATACAGTTATTTCTACACTATGTCGGCTAATAAAACGCTCGGTTTATCTTTTAAATTAGTTTGTGAACGCAGATTTATCGAAGAAAATATTGAAAGCTGCGAGAAGACAACAAGTTGAACTTGGTGATGGTGAAGCTGGTGCATCAGTTAAACATGTTCTTCCTCTAGAAATAAACGGTATGAATTCTACAACAATTTAATCTTTTTTAAAGAAATTTTTAATTAATATATCTCATTAGTATTTATTATATTACAGAAGCTAGTTCTGACAATGAAGTTGACTCTGATACCGACGACTTGGAGCCTGATACTTTTTATGACAATATTGAAATCAATGAGGAAGATGAAGAGGCATTAAGAATGTTCATGTCCAGTAAGCCGGAGAAGACCAGGACATTGGCAGATATTATCAAAGACAAAATAACAGACAAACATACTGAACTCCAAACACAATTCTCAGATGTAGAAACATTGAAGCTGCAAAATATTGATCCAAGGTTTTTATTTTCTTTCAAATTTTAGCAGGTTAATGACATTTATAGCTATAGTATAATTGTGTAGTTTAAAAAATAATCTCATAATTCATCCTTTTTGTTTCTGCAAATGATTAAAATTGTCTTTTAATAACTCTTTCAGAATAAAAACAATGTACCAAGGTGTAAGGGATGTTTTACAGAAATATCGCTCGGGTAAATTGCCAAAAGCATTTAAAATGATAGCACATCTTCAAAATTGGGAGCAAATATTATATTTAACTGAGCCAACAACTTGGTCAGCGGCAGCAATGTATCAGGTGGGTTAAGAAAGACGAAATACTAATTGTATGTTTGTTTTTGTTAATCGTTTTTATTTTACAATTGATTGATTTTTTCAGGCAACAAGAATATTTGCATCAAATCTTAAAGAGAAGATGGCACAAAGATTCTACAATTTAGTTCTACTTCCTCGTGTGAGAGATGATTTAGCTGAATACAAGAGATTAAACTTTCACTTGTATCAAGCATTACGAAAGTCACTATTTAAGCCAGGAGCATTCATGAAAGGCATTTTACTGCCTTTGTTAGAAGTAAATGTTTAATTTTTGCTAAACATTTGGTGTTAAATTTATAGTACCTTCTATTAATAAATTTTAACTTTTAGTCAGGTGATTGCACATTACGTGAAGCTATTATTGTGGGCTCTGTTTTGGCCCGTAATTCAGTACCTGTCTTGCATTCTAGTGCAGCTCTATTAAAAATTGCTGAAATGGACTACACTGGTGCCAATTCTATATTTTTGCGAATATTGTTTGATAAAAAATATGCTCTGCCATATAGGGTTGTGGATTCGGTTGTTTTTCATTTTCTAAGGTGAGTGAATGATAATGTTTTATTTGTTAGGCATGTTGTAAAATGATAAGTATGTTTAATGTGAAAATAACTCTTTACAGATTCCAATCAGAATCTAGAATGTTGCCAGTGTTGTGGCACCAAGCTCTTCTGACATTTGTTCAACGTTACAAAGCTGATATTTCTACAGAGCAACGAGATGCACTCTTAGAATTATTAAGAAAACAATCTCATCCTACCATCACAAACGAGGTAACAATGATATTGTAATCTGTTTGAGTATTATACTTGATTTTGGGTTCATTCTCTTTAGGGGCAGTTTCTCCTTGATGCAAAGTTCACGCAGTGACATTTTGTTTTAGATTCGCAGGGAGTTACAAGCCGCCCAGTGCAGAGATGTTGAAGTAAATGAGGCTGCACAGAATTGTATGGCCATGGAATAAATATCACGACAATGTACTTTATATAAATAAATATATTCAGTGTTTTGAAATTTGTGTTTTATTACATTTGGTTGTTTCTTTTATGGCTACCCTTTACTGTGCTTTAAATGTTACACAAAAATGAAATGTCTTTTAAGTTTTTATTGGACTTTAATTGGTATAGGTATATCAACTTGACTAGATATAAAATGTATTGGCGGTAACACTGATTTGCCACAATCGCATTTTCTACCTGAGATAAAGTCGTATGACCCAACTTTATAACCACAATTTTCACAGTGTAATTTTCCTTTAGTCCATTGTTCATCCTCAACCTTTGTTCTGATCCATGTTGGCATTTTATCTTCATATAAATAAACGAATCTTTTTAAATCGTAGCTCTCGCAATCCTTAGTGCCGCATGACTGGAGGTTATGTGTAATATTTGAGTCGTTTAAAAGAACATGACGACATTTCCGACACTTGATTATATTACTTTCTTGTTCCATAATAAATAATTGTATTAAAGAGTTATTTCTTAATATTTAAGACCTAAACTTGTGCAAATTGTAAAAAAGTACAGTATTTATCATGACCATGACATTTGTTTGACAGATGGAAGTAAACAAATATTTTTGACATGACATTTATATTTGGCAGTCCTTTGGACAGATTAAAAAGCTTTAGATTTTTTTTGGCGTTGCGACTGGTTGCGACCCCAATGTCAATTTAAAAATAGGCAACCTTATTCAAATCAGTCTCTGATGATAATGATTCTTGACTATCCGTAAAATTAATTCCATAAAACATTTTTCCATAAAACAACAGCCTTTTTATTCCATGAAAACTTCAATCATATTGTATCAGTACTGGAGAAGTGTGGTTTACAGAAACCAGTTTCGTTTAAAAGCTTTGTGAGGATTATGAATATTATAAATAAAGGAAAAAGTTTATTTTGTAAATAAAACAACAATTCGCATGTGCGTGATATTTTATTTTCATTGATCTTATTTAGATATTCAACGAGAATTTAGCGCTGTCCAATTAATGCAAAGTTTTATTAAACTATATAACTAATGTGCTCTGTTTAATTAAAACAATTTACGTACAAACATGTACAATACTTAGCACTTATTCCGGTATTAATCAGTGTAACAATAATGAGCGAACGTTCAATAATAACGTTGTATAAAAAATTACTCATAAAGCGATAATTTGTGATTTTATCCTTTCAATATAAATAATCTGTTCTTTTCTCTTCCAGTCAGTAGTTTATAGATGTTCGAGTGAATTTTTAATGTTATTTAAGTACAGACAGGCTTGAAAACCACTCATAACTTAAATTAGAAAAGGTTGCAATAAAAATTGTAAAGGGAGAATTATGAAATGAACAAAAATTAGATGTTTAAACACTTTTTTTCTAAATAGGGAATATTCTCGTTATTGTCTAATATAATACAATAATATTTTAGAATGTTATCGAGTGGTGAGCAAGCCGCTAAACACTAGTTGAAAAGAGCTTTACAGTAACCTGACGATATATCTTCACAAACTCGCTTACCTATCTAATGTTTTGATGCAAAATCCTGACGTGTTTATGCTTACATTAAGCCGTATCTAATTATTTAACCTCATTGCGCTTACAATCTAAATTACGAAAATGAGACGCCTGGCACTAGAAACACGCAACATGCTTTAGAAAAAGATTTTGTGTAACAAAACCTAAAATAGCTCATGTCGGTGAATAAAACATCACATTAATAAAATAAACGCATTGGAAATATCATAAAACGACTTTCATATATAGTTATTTAAATATACATTCTGAATTTACGTTAGGACAAAAGACGATAATTATGAAGACTAAACTAAAATTGTGGTAAGGTTTTTTTAGTACAGAATGTATAAATAAATAAATATAATTAAATGTAACATATTCAGTGATATCCGCTTCATTTTCAGCTTAACAATATAAAATTTCGATCACAGACAAAATTACTAATTATTATTATTCATACGCATTTCGTTTGCGTTAAATGTTGATGAAATATAAAATACTTAACTTATCAATACAATATTCTAATATAACGTGTTCATTAAAAGCTGAAACAACCAGTGTGTGACAATAATTTCCAAATTAAGCAACAGTCATACATTAGATAAAGTGAAAAGAATATATTTTCTGAAAGAATTTAAAAGCTTACTTAAAATACGCATTTGTAAAAGGGCACATTATTTTATAGACAGACACGATTTTGTCAAGAGTTTTCTAGGTAAAGTGATGTGGATGCACTCAGCAGATAAGCATGCGTTTTTTAATTACCATTCATTGTAACTTCTGTAATGACGTACTTCGATTTGTTTTAGTTACAATTGCCCAAATATATTGATATTTGATTTAGCACATCGAGAACAAAACTACAGTTTTGCCCAATGTGCCAAATAAAACGGCTACTATAAGTTAAAGGTAGTTGATCATTAGACCTGAATGGAATGTCTTTTTTTGATTTATTGTGTGTAATGTTGTGTTCGTTGTTTTTTTTATTTTAATTTTGATATTGGTACTCTAAAAGTAAAAGTTATTGTTATACTTCTTTTGAAAGAACCATTACTTTGTAAATCAGTATAAAATAATATTAATTATATAAAATTGAAGCCTATTAAAACTTAATTTGATTTAAAATTTAGTTTTTTCAATTAAAATACAGATTTATTTAGAGTTAATGTAACGAAATTAACAATTATGGGTCAAATGTGTGATGCAATATTTATTTCACGATAAGAATAAATGGTTTTCTTTTGCAACATTATTAAACTTATTTTAAGTTTAAGGCTTAAGTGTAACAAATCATATGTTATTAACGTGGTTAAATGTAATAACAAATCGTGTCTGCTCCTGAAAACGCAACATGATAGTAAAAAAAATATAAAAAAAAATACAGACGTATTGAGTACCTCCTTCTTTTTCGAAGTCGGTCAATAATAATTATAAATGATTTAATTGATGTAATAATTGTTAATAGTAATAATACGAACCTCAATTTTAGTATCTTAGGAGGTAACGTGTATGTAAGTGTGGTATAGTGTGATTGCTTGATGTCAAGATTTTCGGATTGACAGTCTAAATATCTATGAAGAATAATTAATCTAAAAGGAAATGTGTACGTTCAGTTTAATAGAAATGATGTGCGGGCTAGTATTGTAAGCGAGATTTAAACTTTAAATATATTTATTGAATCGTACAGATCTAAATTTAATTAAATTTAATGTCTAGACAGCTAGTAGGTACTATTGTTAAATCCAAAACACCCTGTGCTTAGAAGCGCTTAGACTTAATGATGAACCAGAGAGAAGAAAGGGGTTACGCAAGGTTATGATAAGGGCGGTCAGAGTTCAGTTGTTTTGAGACCAAATCCAATATTCTATCCTTAAGAATGATCTGAAAATTACTTAAGATAAAAATGGACCTATTTACTCATCAACAGGGTCTATATTAAACGATTCATCAGGTTATTTTTTCAATTGCAATTTTTGCTGTTTTTGACGTAATTATATAATTTACTCAATGGGAAATGGTTCGAGATCGATTATTGGGTTTGACCGTTAGTCAGTAGTCATCATTTAATCACTTAACTTAGGTGGAATCGTGGCCAAGCACTGGTTTATTTATGTTAAAAATGTAGATAGTACAGCGACCAAGGTTATATGGATTTTGGATTGTGCGCTTTATAGCTTTTATATTATTAACATTTGTAAAGTTCTTATTTGTATTGCCATTACATCAAACACTTAAACTAATATAATGAATAAAATAAAATAAATTAACAAATTAGCTCGTAGCTTAAGTTATAAAAATAATTGAAATATCAAAACGTTAATAGATTACAGAATGCTGTCAAAAATTAGATTAACATGTTTTAAAACAAAACTACCGCTATTTTTTTTCAATAGAATTGAAATAAAGTAATCATTATCCAACGACAAATTTCTCGGTACGTAAAAAATTGCAAATTTAATCTTATTATTACTTACATTAAAACTTATATATTAAAAACAAATTATTTCCTATAATTATGTATAAGTAGATAAGAAAATAATCAAGATCCAATAATAGTAATTAAAAATCCTATTCATATAACTCAATTTGTGCAGAATTTAACTTAAAATTATTGAAAAACTACGAGCGTAAATAAGCTATTATTAAAAAAAAGTGTATTGCATTGAATAATTAACAAATTGATCTAATATAATGTATGAAAAGTGTATAATTTATATTTTAAATAGTAAGATTACAAGACTCTACAACTACAAAAGCAAATAACTAATGTGCTAAGCTTGCTTACAGTAACTTCGGCAAAGCATAATTTAAATGTTAGAGATTTGAGAACAGGAGTAATCCCTACTCGCAATTGACCAAATTACAAACCTATTTCTATTTATAATAATCTATTACTACTTGTTTAATGAAATGAAAATGAAGTTTTACTAAATACTCATTTGCGTTAATAACTCGGGAAAAGAACGCACTTTGTCATATGAACTTTTTTTAATGCATAACAAAACATATAAACAAAAAGAAATCCGTTTCCACTTCAAGTTTTGTGTAGATTTACTAAGTAATGATAAATCATATTTATTAAGTTATCATTTTCAAATTAAATATGATTTAAAAGGCACATTATAAAAGTAATAAATATATTAGAAAAAAAAAAGTATTTTAAATTCAAACTTCATTTATGTGTTTAGAGATATTGTTTTTAAATTTGGAATTTGTTTGCTTTTATGGATTCGATGGATGGATATTTTTAACGTTATATGAAGTTTTGTTAAAGATTTTGTTATTGTTAAGGATTGCTTTGAATGAAAGCAACGCGTAAGTAACATTCTAACCTATTGCAGATGTCTATGGTCAGCGGTTACTTCGCCGTTTTATATGGCCTCACGGTCATTTGCACCTTATACTATAAAAATGTTTTTTAAAGACAAAAGCTCTTATGACACAGCTTATACTAACTTATCGGTGTTATTTCTGTACTTATAGGCGGTTTGCCTTATACGATAGCGATTTAACACCAAAATTAACTTTAGCCATCTCGTTACAGTCATCTTAATATAATGCGATGTTGTTATTCGAAGTAAAGATATACTGTAAGACCCTGTCTACATTATACTGCTTTCTGAAATCTATAAATGATTAATACGTACAAAAATTCTATTAAAATTGTGGAGGGGTTTCAAAGAGAGAGAAATCAAAGTGAATAATGTAGAGAGGGACTAAACGCCGCAAAGCACAAAATGCTAAAGCTGTAGCTTTTTATTAAAGTATCCGTGAGCATAAATAACAAAGTTTAGCGTAATCTGTGTTAAAATTTACATTGTATAAATTGTCGTACTCATGTTATACTCGCAGCAATATGTACAGTCACAATTTCGATTCTTAAAATATGGTAGGTTTTATTATTGCTTACAATGATATTGGCGAATCATCTTATTCCGTAACTAGGATATACGATATAACATAAAGTTAATGATATCTTTTTGAGCGACCATTTTTAGCAAAACTTTACAAAGTATGTATGTAAATTGATAAAATTTTAAATACAATGTATTCATAACAAGAGCGATTTTTTGACCGTTACGATAACGTTTTAGATTAAAGGCTTTTAGAAGAAAAACTGTAAAATAACAATTACAAAGTAAAAACGATTACAATAATATTATAGTTATAATAATAAATGATCATTTGATTATCGTAGCGATGAAGTTACTCGTTAATGTTAATATTAAATGGGCCAAGTGAATCGTCATAAACGCACTTCCACAAGGAGCATCTCAAATAGACTTTGATCAAGTAGTGTTAGATATTACCTAGCTACAATGTAAAGGCAAGGAGCGAGGACGGGTAGAAAGCGTTTTTCGTTTACTCCCTTCTGGAAATACAGTTCACGGTTATTACGTAGTGTCTCAGTCTTATAAACTTCATACTGCACGGCTGAGATCGCAATCGTCTACACGTTCCACACAACAACAACTTGAATCCGAATCCGTCGCATAGAAACAAACAAATAGAAAAGATCAAAAGTGCTATTGCATATCGTAAATCATTAGTTCTAATTATTAATAAAAATGTAAAAACAGCTTCTTTGGAGAACCTGTACACTACGAAAAAATTAAAGCACCCAACGTGTCCGTCGACTGTGGCAAGGCGAGCCACTATCCTCGACTCACAGCCGACCTCTACTGAAGAACGCAAGTAATTCACGCCCACTACAATCCAATCCGCTCCACTCGACGATCCTGGACTTTCCTCCGGTTATACTCACAAAGACATCATGAAGTTTTAACAAATGGACTCGAAACGAGCGGCAGCGGCCGGCTCGCTCGCAATATGGCGAGGACGTGTTAATTTAGGCATATCGACAGAATTATAAAATTGGTCCATTCGGGTCGGGCCACGTCACAGGAAGGTCCGCGCGTCGGGGCGGGGGAGGCGCGCGATGCGCCGGCAGAAGTGGAAGCGAGCGCGCGGCGCCGCGGCCGCCGCCGGGTCCTCCGCGTCCGGCGGCTCGGGCGCACCCGGCGAGCCCCGCGCGCCCGCCGTGCACTGCCCGCTCGCCGCCGGGCCGCACGTCAGCGAGCCGCACGAGGCCGACTCGGCGAGCGAGCGCGTCGACGGCCGGGAGCGGAGGGCGCTCGTCTCGCCCGCCTCACACTACCTATAGGAACAGAATATCCTTAGCCTCCATATCTTTTAGAGAGTGTATCAATAGAATTGGTCGCAAACCGACTTTGAAATGCCTTCAATATTAACACGAATCAGCTGTGTTAAAGAAAACTTTTGGGGTAGTTGAATTGTGTTTTTTATAACAATTAAGCAATTAGGTGTTTGGATCGAGGTTGTGGTAGTTCCTAGTGGTGGTGTTGTTACCTATAGAAGGAGTGTGAGTGCGGCGGCGGCGGCAGGGCGGGCGGCACGGGCGCGTGCGGCTCGGAGGCGGAGCGCTGCACGCCGGGCGCACGCTCCCCGCGCCCGTGCCGCCCCGCCGCCCGCTCCCGCTCCCGCTCGCGCTCGCGCTCCCCGTTCCAGTTCCACTCCCATTGCTTCTGAAGTAAAACACTTGCATGTCATAACTGAACTAAATTTGCAAGTTTCGCTTTTATATTGGTAACATTTGTCAGAACATCAATTACCAAATATTTACATTTAGTCAACAGGTAATTTCCTATTAGATCAGTTATATAGAACGTAAATGGATAGTTAGTTCAGCTTTATTCATATAAATCAGGTAATGTTTGGAGAGCGGAGCGGTAAAAGCTGAACTAATAATACCAAACATTTAGATAAGCTACAGTTCTTTACCCCAAAGGAGACTACACTTACGTCGCCGTGAGGCACGGAGAGCGAGGCCTTGGGCAGGGGTTGCGAGGGTGTGTGTCCGGGCTGCGAGTTATGCGCGGCGAAAGGCTCGCGCGCCTGTAGCAGCTGCAGGATGCGGCGCACGTCGGCCGTCAGCCCGCTCTCCAGCAGCGCCACGCGCCTGCTCAGCTCTTCGAGTCTCGTCAGCACGGTGGCCACTGAAGCCGCCGACGCGGCTGAACCCACGTTCTGATATTGCGGCGACATCACCTCCTAGAACATATATTGTTATAATTTATGTTTGTAAATTAAGGCAGTTTGCACAGCCTTTACATGTTCTATTCTAAATTCTGTTTATAATTTCATCAAAAAAAAACAAAGCTTTATGGTAAGTGAGAAATAGACGTCATTCACAAAAATTTTTTGTCAATCGTAAAATTGGTATAAAGTATGAACCTGCACGTTCGCTGTATTCTGTGCTCTTTCGGCAGTGAAGGGTAGGGCGGAGGGTCGGCCGGCCTGCTGCAGGTTGACGGCAGAGTGCGGCGCCGACCTGCAGGAGGGGGTGCGTGCGACGGGCGGCTGCGCGGGCGCGAGGATGTCGTCGCAGGACACGTGGACGGGGGCGGGGGGCGCGGCGGGCGGGCTCGGCGAGGCGTTGGTGTAGTACGAGCTGGGATTGGTGCTGAGGCTGGAGACGGGCAGCGTGGCGCTGTGCGCGGGCGTGCTCACCGCCGCCTCCTCCGCTGCCGCGCCGCCCGTCAGCGGCGACGTGTCGTTCAGCGGGCCCACCGACGACTGCCGACGCACGCTCGCGCGCCCTCGGTACGTTTGCGGCGTGGATTGAGCTGCAATTTGTAGAATATTAAGATGTAAAATTCGATGACAAATTTTGTTGTCTTATTATTTCATTTAAAATAAGACTCGAATAAACGTATAGTTTTTTCACGTAATGACTAAAGGAAATAGTTATCTCAATTGCACTGAACTTATTACATCACAAATAAAACAGGAAGCCATCATAGAGAATGGCCTTAGCATCATGTATGTTACAATAATTATGTGAACACAGTTTTTAAACGAAACATAAAGTAATCATCAAAATGTTCATACCATAAACATGCACTAGTATAAAAATGAATACTTACAGTATTTGTTGTGTAGCGGCTGATGCGTTTTATGGTGGTAGAGGTCTGGGAAGCTCCTTTTAAGTTGCGCTAGCATGCCTGCACACAAGGGCCGCGCTCAGAGCGGTACGCCGGCGCACAATGGCGGAGCGAGTCATGATTATATACAATTTAGTTCCATAACATATATTCCATAGTTTTTCAAGTTTCCTCCAATGATACACAACGCACTCGCCAGCGTCGGCCGGAAAGGAGAAATTAAACGAAACCGGGGGACAAGTACAAGCGTACACATGCTGGCATCGGTAATGGAATCGGTCGTGTAACGTGTAAACAAAAGCTTCCTAGTGATCCGCCTTTACAATATTTACATTTTTTCAAAAGCTTTTTGATATTCTTGTACGACTAAGTAGGAACAATTGTCTGAACTCGTCGACTGCCTGTCTTGTCAACCAATGTAATAATTACACATTCAAAAGAAGCTCTTATTTTAACGTCTGTTCATTTTTAAATAAGTAAAAAATCTCATTATTACCCCTAAATATATTAAAAGAAATGTATTAAAAAGTAAAATATGGAAAAGGGTCTTCTATATTTGATCAAAATATATCATTTACATAAAATTGGTTATCTACCTTATTAAAAGTGGTCTCGATACCTACTGCATTCGGTTTAAAATATCTAATAAAGAGTTGTGTTTCAATTTATTTCTTAGGGTAGGATCTTTTCATAAAGGGATTTGCACATTGCACGTTGAAGTTAAATGTGCATCTACCTACTCTATGAATTTATATCTGGTACATACCAAGCCCCACCTGATGCTTTCTGTTAAAATTATGAAAGAGAATGTCTAGAATCTGACAATTTCCAATAAGTATCGTCTTTTGGGATTTTTAATTGTTATTTTTATTTACATGTTCGTTAACTGACAAATATCTTGGTAGTTTTATTTTTAAAGCATCAATGAAGTGCTTGGTTGATTATTAAAAAAAAATAAAAAAGGTGTTATTTTCATTCCCTATCAGTTATTAAAACTATCTCACCTGTTATAGAGTTGAGGGTCGTAGAGCGTTGCTTGCTGAAATTAAAGTTGAGTGGAGTGACGTCCTGCCCCGCTTTGTCCGCAGAAAATTCTAGAATGCCTCGACTTGCCGGAGACTCGGTGTCTTCATCGCTGCATTGTGAATCCTAAAGAAATGAATGTTGTATTGTTGTTGCGTTAAATTAAAGTTTTAAGATGTGTCCTGAATTATCAGTGTAGTTAAATTGGTATCCGCCGCACTCAGAGTCCTTAATTTATCACCACAGGAGTTGTCACCACCTTAACACCTTTGATTGCGGCTGCAGAAGTAAAGGTTTAACAAGTGGAAAAGTTTGATCTGAATTAGCTGAATCAATTAAAACAATTGGTATGGTAAAGTCTAGACGGATATTCAAACTTTTTATAGACTAAGTGAACACCCACCTTATCTGCAAATGTCTCTGTGTGCGGACGACGCGTGTTTCTCGCATATGCTTCCCGTAGCAAGCGCGCGTCGTACGGATGCTCATAGCGCATGCGCCGTCTCGTCTCTATACCACCCAGCTCCTCCTAATAAACAGTTTAAATTTTTTTTATGGTAGATATATTTGCTCATACTACTTCTGAGAGCATGAAAATTCTAATAAAGAGTAAAATCACAGAGTCAAGCTCATTAACCTGGACATAATAGACATTTAAATTTCAAGTTCCATTCAGGTAGAGGAATCATATTTCATACTAATATTATAGAGACGAAAGGTGGATGGATGTTTGTTTCATTTCGACGAAACTTAATATAGGTGTACAGGATAGTCTGGAAGAACACATTTACTACTCGAATTTGTTTTTGTTAATTTCACGTAGACGGAGTCGACGAAAACTAATTACATAATATAGAACAAGTTGAAATAAAATAAGGCAGTAGATAAACATTATAGTGCGGCTCACTGTCAAGTGACATTACTGTAAGACTAACATCTCGCATGTTGTAGGTAATCTCGAGGTTGTTGACGAAAGTAGAGCGGAACTCGGGGTACATGTCGAGAACGTCCAGCAGATCGTCACGGTGCACGCGGTGCAGGTCGCAGTATGTGAGCGCACGCACGCGGCAGTTACTGCGCCCCACGCTAGAGTAGATGCACGGATTCTCGCCGAATATATCATCTTTACCTGTACCACAAAAATTATTATAAACCATAAAAGTGACCCAAAAAAGCGACAAGGTAAGACAGCTTCAAAAAATATAAAATGGAACTTTCACTTACCTAAAATAGCCATTACAATATCGTCTTTTAAAATTTCTATTGACCCACGAGAGATGAAATAAAGCGAAATGAGCACGTCTCCACGGTGAACTAAAGTCTCTCCCGGCGGCGCGTGGGTCGTTTTGAACCTTAACGATAGCGCTCTGCAAACGATCGTTCATATCAGTTATAGTATTAAAGATTTGATGTAATTTAACTTAAGGACATATTTTATAACTATGCTAGTACAAAACATTAAAAAACAACTGTGAACATATGGACAAGAACTTCAAAGACAGTTAACATTTAAAACGAATTTAACTTTACTGAATACTGAACATTTAGATTTGTACCTTAAGCAGCCAGGACTTGCTCCTTCGAAAGCGGCACAATTGGCTAGAAGATTGCGATTGAGATGTAGACAGATGTCGGCTTGGAGGCACTCGGGGAAACCTTTCAGTACACTCGATGTGTCGATTCCATTCGTATAACTCCACGCATGTTGGAAATATTCCTCAAGTCTTTGCCGTAATGGATTGGCAATCTATGTGCAAACAATGGCATTTTATAAGTTAAGTCTAGTGCAAATGCAAAATGCGTCTTTGAAAATTTCTTCATAATTTCTTACCTGATGAAATCTTATAAATTCCCGTACTCTCAAGATCTGTGTGTGATATCTCGCAGTGCCGGAATAAAGACGTTGTATTATTGCAGATACATTACCGAAAATACTCGCGTACATAAGAGCTGCGAAGAGAATAATTTAAATTTAGATTTTTGAAACTTCTATCTTCTAATTTCTATATTTAATATCTAAAATATGGAAGATAAAATGGAGCTAGAACAAATATAAAATCTAATATTAATCAAAATGACTTAAAGCACTAACTTTTGTTTAACATTACATGTGAATTTAAAGTACATGGAGGTGATAGCTGGTGTTAAGCAAATATCTAATTTAAACTATTTTAGCTAATAGTTAAAAACAACTAATTTTTAAAGCATTAGTACTTTGTGATACTAACATCCAAGAAGCATGACAAATATTGTAAATCCTTTTTCCATATCTGTGTTAGGCGCCACGTTACCAAAACCCACACTGGTTAGAGAGGTGCAAGTAAAATACAGAGCTGTGATGTAACGTGACCTGAAATTAAAAGTATGTTAACCTTAACGACCTCTAAACGAACTTCAAACGATTATCTATGAAGTGCTCGAATATGAGAAAAAGAATTAAAACCTTGAGCGACTAGATTTAAAATAGATCAAAATCTTCAATTATCAAAACCTTAAAATGCTATTTTTTTATTCTAAATTTTACTTTAAAAGTTAATAAAGCTAATAGATAATTAAATCTGTTATTCTAATAGCGCTTTTGTTAGCCTAAACAAAACAATACGAATATTAATACTAGATTATTGTTGGTAAGTTCTAGATTCATAACAGTAAACTAAGGGATATTGCGATTATTATAATGGATAACTAACTAAAAATGTATTGTTAGGCATTTGGACTGATACTTATGAGAATTTTAACGCTCTTACCTCATAGATGGCCCTGTTGAGTTATCGTAGGTAGCTTGCACATCGTTAGCAAGAGCATCTAACCAGCCAATAGGAGCTTGTAGTTGAGGTCTCTCCCAATTTCCAATTGCATACCTAATGGACACATTATAATTAATATTAAGACAAGGAAAATTATCACACAAATTTTACTGGCCAGCGATGGTATGGGATTACCAAAAAGGATATCGTTACTATAAAATGAAGAACGACTAGGTGATGGTGTCTTAGGATCATCGAGGATTATGTTTGAATATTAATGAACTTACCAAATACACGCAAGCCAATGGGCAAAAAGGACGAATGTAGCCATAAGGAGGAGAAGGACGGCAGTGCCATATTCAGAGTAACGGTCGATTTTGCGCGCGACACGCACGAGCCGGAGCAGCCGCGCTGTCTTCAGCAGACCGATGAGGGTCGTCGTCTGCGAACAGAGGGCCAGCTCAGACGCCTGGTCGCTACCCACTCACTACTCTGCACTATGCGCATCGAACTTAAGCTTTGGATGAATGTTCGCTTATGATATAGCATTAATGAGGCCTCGCAGCGAACCACGCTAACAAAGCAAAACTCCACTAGTTTATTTACTATGCGATTCTTGTACTCAGCCAAACTGAGGTAAATTTTGCGGTAAGCGATTATCTCTTACTATGGTTGTAGCTTCGTTATATTTTGCGGTGCATGGAATAATTCAACTAATACTAATCAAAAGTAACTTTCAATTTTGATTTTTTTAAGCTGTTTTACTTCTTTTTAATGAAACCTTACGTTCTTTCTTACAATGATTTTCTACCTCTATATAGTAAATATGAGTTTACATTTAATTTAAACAAATCCATAGGATTTTTGATAAGGTTATGTTAATTTAGTAAGAAACATGTTAGAAATGTTATTACATTGGTTTAATAATTCAGATAATAATGTTATCTGTGATGACATAAACAATATAGTTCAATTTATTATTATCGATATTTATTAGATTTTGCAGTGAGATTTTTTTAATTATAATTAATAATATTATATAAATAATATATAATAAAAAAAGAATGTTGTAAACCTATATTCAGTTTGAAAAGAAAAAACTAAAATTACAAAATCGTAATAAAAACAAACAATGACATTCAGTTATATATTTTATTGTAGTTTTAAAACAAGGCTGGATTTTCAACATTTAACGATAGTTATTTTTAAGGACGTAAAAAAAATTCAATAAAAAAACATTTACTTGATATATTTGCGTATTATTAATCTGGTAACTTTGTAAAATAAAAGTAAACTCGGAAAGTAAAACAAAATATAATGTCGGACGTAAACAAATAAATATTCTTGTAACACATAGGAAATAATGTTACCAGGTGTCACTGTAAAACTGTAATGAAATATGGACACATGTATGAAATACTTTTATTCTCTGATGTAAGGTGGGTGCCATAATTATTCATTATTTATTAGTGCTAATAAATGTTGTGAAAGGCATTTCATTGTTTTGTACAAGATTTAGTCTGGGAAGTGTGAGCGTATCGTTTACCAAGCTCTGTGCCCGTGACTGCACTCAAACTATAACAAGCTTATGATAATGAACCCAATGATTACAACCGAATCAACCTAATGTAGGCTACCAAAACCATCTTTAAGTATTACTTCTACTTCCTTTTGATCTACTGTATAATGCTATTCCTAACCTCAAACTTCTACAAATTTTAAAAGAGCTTTGAACATTTCCAACAAAGCTATAATTTTCTTTCAGATTTAAATCTTAAATCTTTTAAATAACGATAAATTATCGTTTGCTTTATTTTTAATAGCAGTTTAATATATTTGGTTTACTTTTAAAAGATGTAATCACGGGATAGATATGTCATAGTGATGATTACGGACAAACCAATCGAAAAATGTTTGTTTATAGCTAAGCTCGTGGTTGCAGCGAGTGAGCGTTTTTTTTTTTATTTCTGCCGCGGTGTTCTTTCAAATTAATATTTTTGCTCAAAGGAAGCGTCCAACTCTTCCATTATGCATTCGCTTAGTGGATTTACAGCTAGTGGAAATCAACGAATCAAAATATAGAAAAAAAAATAACTAAAGATCAATAAAAATATAGTGGCAGCAACAAAAAATAGTTCACAAAGATGGTATACCTCATCACTTTCCAGCCCCTGCTGTAACAAGAAATGGAATTACAGATTCAGTACTCGTATGCACCCACCTTGGGTTCTCTCTTCATACTATGTTAAGGTATTACAAAAAAAAACATGAAACAAAGTAATAACTTCGCATAAAGTAATACAGAACAACCTAATAATTATTAAAATTTCTTTTAATTTTTATACTGAATTAAAATTAATAATAATTAAAATAACAAACAGGTTTATTTCAAGAAGCGAATATTATTATGTTATATCTTAACGACAGAAAATAAAAAAAGCCAATATAAGAAATGGGGCGTATTCGTGATCGGCATATAATCTGTCTTTGAATTTGTGGCATAGAATTGAACAGTGTCCATTGCATTGAATGCATCCATTCCGCTACTGTACGTGAAATGTCTAACAATATCCAGAACTTCATTTGTCCGAAAAGTCGATGTCGATAAACGCTTTCATTATTAATAACTGTTATGATGAGGCTTGCTTATGTGAGCTCTATTCGAATGATCACTGAGAATATAATTTGACCTGCTTTCTGTTCCAAATGACCTATTTTCAGCCGCAAATGTAATGACGAGCTACTCCATAGTTTTATATTGGTATGTGGATAAAACATTTCATATGTAAAATTAAGTTTTAACACAACGATTATTTTTAATTTCGGACAATTGATCATCTGGTTTCTATTTTTTACTAAATGTCAGGCATTTGTTTTTGTTGTCATCTAGATCTAATGTTATTTATATGTGTGGATGTGGTAATGGCATATGAGGGTCGTGTCGTTGTAAAAGCAGCTCACTTCGTCGGTGTTGGTGCCGAAGAGGAGAAGGTCGAAGGGGATGGCCGCCACCAGGTCGATGATGAACCAGCCGCGAAGGTAGTGCATCGCGATCTTCGCTGGATCAGATTCCACTTCGTCCGCCGCGTTCACGTACGTTGTACGGAAGTTTATTAGGATGTCTATTATGAAGGTTACGTCAACTGAAAGTAGATTTCTATTGTTTAATAATCACATTTACATAAGATACCTATCTTGATTAATATTAATACTCTGTTATTATATTTTTAAATGATTCCAATTAAATATATGAAAAAGGAATACGAATTTTTAAATGATAGTTAAAAATTCTTCTATTGCGTGAACTACACGTGTGAATAATAAATTCAACACAACGTAAATAAAGCAAAGTTACCTATCATATCAATAACGACTATTGGATCTTCGCCGAAGCTGCGTGATCTTTTGTCAAAATCCGGCTCGTTCAGCTGGAAGGCGGCCACGTACGGTGTGAATATCGCAGTGTAGATCACGAGGATTAGAATCAACCAATCCCAAGCGGCCTGGAATCAAAAACGATTCTTCTTTTAAAACAATGTATGCCGTGAAAATTTTCATAAAATTTAAATAATCTGCTGAAGATGAAAATATTTATTTTAAATAATATGTAATGTAAAGGGAAAACCATAAAATTAACATTACACTTTTTATAATTACATTGAACTGGGACACTATATAAGTTCCAATTTAAGCGAGTTCGCAGCTCTAAGATATATAGCACCCGAGGTAGTTTTAATTACTGACTTAATAGCATGTGGGCAGTCGCCGCTTTCATTGCGTGCTCAGAAAATAAGGTCGTTTCGAAAAGTTTACCTTACTTTAGCATTTTAGCCACGTCGTTCTTCAAACGTTCTGTTTACAATAACCTGGTTCATAATAATAATAATATAAATATTTAAATTCATCTGATTGGACATTTTTGCGGTTTTGTTGATCTATACCACAAGTTTAGTTTTAATAAAATTTTTAACGTTTAGATAATAAGACACGCTTCTTTAAAATCTCACAAAACCTTATTCCTTTTACATAAAGTATGTCAGGTGAGAAATGAAAGCCTCCTTGTGGCGTCCAACTCTTTGAAGTATTCCTTGAGAATTCTCTCAAAGTATCTGTGTGTGAAAAACAAGAAAGCAGTACCTACTCATGTAGACAAAGTTCCAAATCACGGTACAACGGAGTGTCTGAAACATTTCCAACTATAATTTCTGTAAGCATTAATCTGTTAAGTTTTTTACAACTTTCTAATGATGCTGTTTAAATAAAAATCGTTAAAAATCATTGATTTCATGATTCAAACCCATTTATTCAAAAACCTACGTTTTAATGAATGCTACTTTTTGTCATAATTTGACACTATATAAATATCACCGGCTATAGTATATACTAGCTGTTGCTGGCGACTTCGCCTGCGTGAAAATAAAAAAAATAATACTATAGCCTATGTCACTCAGTGATAACATAGCTTTTCAATAGTGCAAGAAAATTCGAAATCGTTCAAGCAGGTTTTGAGTTATTTTACACACAAAAATACAAATCTTTCCCCTTTATAATATTAGTATAGATACAGATAAAGTTACTATTTCTCTATTAGACTTAATGACCTTTTAATAACCGCTCAAAGGAATACGTGAAGCTATTACATACAGAATAATCTTCACTATCCTGTCACATGTAACAACATAATAAGTAATGATATACCTAATAAACAAAATAATAAGGTACAAGTAACATAGCGAAAGGCATTAATTACGAATTATTATTGTAGCTGAACCTATGATGAGAGGTAATGTTTTTGTTAATCATCTCAGTAGCCTTATCTCACTTATGTCATTTCGGGTTCATAGTTGTATATGTTACCGGAAAAGTGTGATAACTAGGAATTGTATACTTTGTCTAGGAAAAGAATAGAATTTCGAAGCTGTTTTGGCAATGTTTAAAATGTTTCAAAGATTTTTAAATACACACATATCCTGGTGATTACACATTTTCTAGAAATTATATAAAATTCCAAAATAATGAATTACTACGCAATAAGGAAGTTATGAAAACAATGTTATCTATGAATAAAATTGTTAATAAATAGAATTTGTGGGTTCTCGATAATTCAAAGCGATTTTAGGAGTTATACATTGCCTAGGAATTGTGTACAATGACGGATTTCATATATTTCCGTCAACATCTACACCTAAATGTTTGGACTTAATTTAACAGTTAGATGAAATACTTAAATTTATATAATGATTGTTTTCTGTATGTCTTATAGCCATCTGTAACATTTGGACAGAAATAAACAGTGATTACAATAAGTATTCACGTTAACCTTGGCAGGATAGTAAATACAAGTTTCTGTTCTTCTTATAGTTTGTTAAAAATAGCTAGACTGATTGAATAAATCTATTTTTACATCGGCTCAAAAACAAAAACAAGTTAATTGTGATCACGCGTTGTGTTGTTGTGTAGTTTTACAATATAATAAAATCTTTCAAGTTCACTAAAAATGTTCGATATCGCTTTCATTTTCTTCTCGATAGTACGCAATGAAAGCGTAAGTTTATCTAACTAAAGTTAATCTCAGAATATGACACTTAGCTACATTGATTTAAAAAATTTAATTTTGTTAACCAGAGCCAGATTTTGAACTCAGTATGATGTTGTTCTCAAGTGTAGGATAAATAGGTATTTACTAAGATGTGCCATCTTTCAGCCACAATGCCACTAAATGTAATTTGGGATCATGGTCACGCAATGTTTTACTAATTGAATAAAATCCACCAGTATATGACTCTGTTTTTATATTAAACACTAGCTGTTACTCGCGCCTTCGTCCACGTCGAATAAAGAAAATAGTATAAAATATTGTCTATGACACTCAGTAGTTACCTAGCTTTTTAATAGTGTGAGGGATTTTGAAATCGTCCCAGTAGATTTTGAGTTATTTCAGTACATACAAAAAATACAAATCTTTCCTCTTTATAACATTAGTATAGATTTCAACTGTAGAATGTTAAATAAACATGAATGCAACAATATCGATGATATCATCAAATAAATTAGATTAGTTGAACATTTCGAACGTCATTTATCAAAAGAAGCCAGTAACTATACGATCCGTCCGTTACTCAACATTATTGTTATCACCTAGATAATTTAATGATTGTCGCATGCGACATCTATGACACAGTCCTAAAGAATTTCTTTAAAATCATGTATATAAAAACTAAAATTGAAAATACAATATAACGCCTCAACAATAAACGTGTACAACATTTGTACAATTATAACCTTGAATGGATTAAATTTTATTCTTATTAGATAGGAATACATATTTGAATTTAATTTCTTATGTTAATGTTGGTTGGCTTATTTATGTAATGATTATAAGCTTGCTGGTAACTTAATAAGTACCCGCTGTTCATAAGCAACTTGCAATCACCTTTTTTATGTCATAAGCTGGCAAATGAGCATGCGACCACCTAAATCCGCCAAAATGGAAAAGTGACCGCTATATATAGACATCCACAAATGTAGATGCTTTGCCTCTGTTTAATCCACGTGGGAGGAGGGCCACATGAAGAGGATATTGCCCTCTTCTACGCGTTTTCTCCACCGTCAAATCTACTTTCCCTTCCCATTCTTTCCTTATAAGAAAAAGGTGGTAAGGGTAAGGGAATACGCAGGGAAAGGATATTTATTATCTATTCGTTTTCTATCCCCCTTCCTTACTTAAAAAAGTTGAAGCGTGAGGACTTGAATTTAGCTTGCATTAGTGTTGATGTAAACATAAGGTATATTTCAACGATTAAAAAAGGAATTTCAACGGAGGTTGCATGTTACATAGTAAGTGACCATAACTATCTTACCTTGTAAGGAGAATGGTGGAGGATAGTCCAGGGATGTGATGGTTGCGTGGTCCCCTTGGGCCCGCTCGTAGCGCCGAGTGATAGTACCTGCAGACAAGTAATAAAAACATCTTGAGATTATTTGTGTTTCATAAAAAGTGTATTGTTTTTTAACCCTTGTGCACATTAGACGCTTTAAAGTGCGCGTTTCTAAAGGTGTGTTTGAAAGTAATCAATGTGTACTAGGGTTTATTCTTTTACAATTAAAAATTATTTCGTTTTATACTATGCAGTTTTTATAGTTTATTAGGAAATGATTAAAATGCATTGTTAAACATACATATGAAAACGTTTCGTATGGATTGAAATATCAATTTGTGGATGCTGATTATATTTTAAATTTAAATCACTTGTCTGTATTTTAACAACTTTAATCTTTAACTTAAAGTTAGTAAATATTCATAAGTGTTTTTATTTTATTTTGAAATCTAAACCGTTAGAAATGTTATTGGTGATTTTAAAAGTAGAAAATAACTATTTATTTTTAATCGTTTATAACTTTGTTTATTAATAAACATGCAAATTACATTAATTCTCTGTAAAAACTGATTAATATTTAGTTAAATATACATGCAACAAGACTAAATAGAAGCAATAACAAGGAATTCATAATTTTACACAATTACCGGTATATTTTTTTCAAATTAAAAGCGCAAATAGCCTAATGGTTTGGGGTACGGACTACCGATCTTGCGGTCGAGGGTTCGAATCCTGCCATTCGACATTTGCCGTGAGCTTAGTTGGAATGGTTAAAGGAAATATTAGTAAATTAACAAAAATCTACTAAAATTTCTGCACAAAAAAAATTTAGAAAATGGATTGATGTTTTGTTTTGAAAGAGTTGTTCATTTGTTTTCTTTTGATAACATTTTTCTTTTTTATTGTTAAGTATAATCCACTTGTTTTTAATGTATGTCGTTAAGCATCATCTCTTGTGACACTCTGGTCGTGCGACGTAGTTGGAGTGCTCTTGCGTGACTTAAACGATGGTCGAATTAATGAACTCTCTGCGGTCTTGATTTTCGGCGACCGCTCTAGTGACACTTGATGTCTGGCACTCTGTGGTCCAATAGGTTAAGTGTGGCCCTAGTCATCTGTAGGTAGTTTTATTTGAAATAATGTCGCACACACTTGAAGAACATGTTGATACGACATTCTCGTGGTTAGACGACAGTCGATACTCCTCTATTGCATATTAAGGGCTTGTCCCACCACTGTTTGAGGCTCAGATAGCTTAAAAATAACGTCACTGTCAAATAATGAAACAAAATCCGACATTTCCATCACATATTTTACACGTTGGATTTCAGACCATTTACAGTTTGGTGGGACATGCCCTTAATTTAAAATTTTATTGCATTCCTTTTATTATGAATTAAAACTATTAACATCAGATTCTATGAAATGCTCATGCTATAAGTGTAGTCGGTGTGTGTGCTGCTGCATTACTAAAGGAGGTTGATGACCGTTAAGGTGAAATGTTGACTGATTTGACTCTTGTATGTATATGTCATCACATTATCTTTGATACTGTAGACACATAAATATATAGAGCGCCCGCACTTCTTTGACTAATCTAACGCACAACTGTTTAGTTGTTTTGATTCCTATGAGCTTATATGAATTACTACTCGATTTTTAGTTGTGAGAATAATCAGTTAAGGCTGCGAAACAATCGACAATCGCACAGTTGTGCGATAGTTTGGTTAAAAGTGTGCGGCCGCTCTAAATAATGTAAATTCCCCGGTATTATACAAAGAAACACAATTTTAAGGTGCATTTAAAACAGTTTACAAATGTTACACTAAAAGGATGCTTTCTGTTCTACGCATTTATACAAAAAAATTTTCAAATTCGTCCCTCAAATTCTCTTAAAATATCCTTGAAATCAATCATCAAACATCTTAATTTGTTCAGAATAAATAAACAAATTTTTTTATAATGTTAGTTTGGCGTTATTACTTTTTATAGCAAAAGTTAGCAAACGAGCAAGCGGCCATATTAATTTGTCAGAATAGCGAAACGACCGCTGGCCACAGTCATCCGTATTTGCAGCAGCTTTAATCTTCAAGGCGGAAGGTATATGTAAATACAATAACTCATGTAGAAAAGTAGATATGGGCGCGTATGAATATTAGAGCAAGCGTACACCACAGACTAAACTATCGCACAACTATTGTGCGATTGTTTCACAGCCTCTAACTGTTAAGTTGCACAATTAAAAATCGAGTAGTGTGCGCACGTCCATATAAGCTCATAGGAATCAAAGCGAGACTAAAAAGTTGTGCGATAGTATAGTTATAGGTATACGCATGCTCTTAAAGTTATTAGTAGTTGGTTAATGTCAAAGTTTAGGTCATAGTTTAGATTTAGGTTGTCGTTATTGGCATCAGTGCATGGCTTTATTAGCTAGCGTATATCTCGATAACTGTTCATGCAAAATATAATCACAAACTCGGCTAAAGTTAAATTTTGTATTAAAAATTTGGGAACATACTTTAAAAAGAAAACAAACGTAAGTAATTATTTAAATATTTCTAGATTTTAGTAAGATTTTTCACTGTCTAAAATTGTTATTACATTACAATTAAATTGTTATTACAATAAATAATAATGTACACTTACTTTCATATTTATCTATATATCTTACAAGAAATCAATGCAGCTGTTACATTTTATAAATTAAGAAAAAAACTTATTTAGTATCTAAATAATAAAAACAGTAAAAATGTCGTATAAATATTCTGCAACACCTATAATTATTGCATTAAAATTATAAAATTAATTTAACTTTCTACAATCAGAATTAAAAATGCGCCTCATCATCGATGATATCATTTCAAATGTATTCAATAAATATTTTCATAAATATATCGATAATATACGATAATAGTATGCTACGGTAATTATGTGAGGGTTTTTGCTTTTTGTATTTACGGTATATGCTTATTTTAAAGTTGGACATTATAAAGGAACATTAATTTGTACGTAAAATCAATATTAATCGTAGTTTGATATTTTTCAGTCTCGCCCAGTTGTTCGTTCATTGTTACAAAAGAAATAAAATAGTTAAAACGCTATAAATGATGGAATTAATAAAAACTTTCGCAACCATTAAAGATTAAAATAAGTTTTTATATAATATCTCCATGGAAATAGAAAAGATAATGTTTATTAAATGTAAGCAGTAATATATAATCTGTAATAAAATAATACATTGTGTTCCATGTATGTACTTGTCTATAGCTATCGAAATGCTTTTTACCCAATTTATGATCGATATTCTTACAGGAATTTATCATATTAGTCCAGATAGCAGTGATTAGATATGCAGGGTAATTAGAACGTGTCACGCTCATGGCTCGCGAGCTCTCGACCACCGAACATTGCGTCTCTTATTAAAGATAGCTTGCTGGCGGAATGTTATCACCAAAAAATGTTATCACTGTGCGAACGACCAGCACGTAGAATTAAATACTCCCGTTTAACAATGCCTTTACTTGTTTTGTCATTAAATAAGTAATATGAATAAGCTTTATTTGGTAATTTATAACATTTATTTATTATACAGTTGCAATGAAAGCTGTTTAACCATGTATGAAGCAGTAAACATAAACAAGATGGATGCGGTATCATCGATTATCAACGTCGTATGCTTCCGTTGCAACATAGAGTAATTTGTAAATAATCATCCACTGAACGAGTATTACCTCCTTGCCGATGATGGTGGGCAATCCGTTGAGACCATTACACGGCGGTTCGAGGCGAACGACGCTCTTGCGGGAGCCGCGGAAGCCGGTGTCGCGGACGCGCACCGAGGAGCGCCAGGTGGAGGGCGGATCGTCACGCGAGCCCCGAGCCACCCGCGCCGCGCCCCCCGCACCCCCCGCGCCCGGCGGCGTCACGATCAGCGGCACGTCGGGGGGCGCGCGCTCCATGTCGCGGTCGCCGTCGCCGTCGCCGCCGCGCCAGCGCTCTCACCGGAACCCGCCGTGCTCCGAGACGGCGAGGTGCTCACATTCCAGCACGGCCCGCTCGTACGCCGACGCCTTCTCCAGCAGTGCGATCGCCGTGTTTTGCATAGATGCTCGCTTTATCTCCGCCGATGCCTCTGATTCCGATATCGTTTCACGTTAATTTACTTTCCACGTATTGATATTGATCAATACGATACATACGCGATATGTTTACTATGGTATGGTTTTAGGTAAAATAAAAATATGATGCACATACTAGCGAGATCGGGCTACACCGTCAATTTCTTCTCGCGGCTTTAGGTTGCCTAAGAGACGGGAGATTTATAAAGGTCAATGGGACGTGAGCGCAGCTTTCCCGCTGTTATTCTAAATAGTAAGTAGGGCGCGGAGTTATTCAGCGGCGGCGTGTCGCCGTGCGGCTGCTTCTTTTCATCTTCATTTGCTGCCTGTACTTTTATTTCCGCAGCTACAAATATAGCGTGTTAATTTTTACTTCCTTTTAAAGTGCTTAAGTAAGCATGATTAGTACATTTTGCGGAATTTTTTCGCAATTCGATAAGATAATAAACCTGACGGGATATACAACATTTAATGTATGAATATTTTATTTATGTTGACATAAGAAGTGACGGCACGCAAGGAATATAATGGAAAGATCTCCGCCTGTCCTACTTTATCAGATTATGTTTCAAAAAAGGTAAAACAGAAAAGGCTGCTCTCCGAGTTGACTGTAAACAACGTGATCCTCTTGCGGACGGAGAGCAAACAATAAAAAATGTGAGGAACATTTGTAATAGAATTCTCTTAGATTACTTTTTAAGCTTTACTTTTTATAACTTTGATGTTTGTTAAAATGTCAATGGTATTAATAACTTGAAGATTTGAAATGAATCAAAAACGTTGAATTTTTGATGTAGAAATTTTTCTTAATGATTCATGACCCGATTTAAAAATTGACCGACGTGAAACATGGTAGTGTTTTGTCAAAAGTTAACATATAATATTAGTTTTCAGCATTGTAGTTCGTAATAGAAGAATAATTTCAATATATACGAAAAATCCATATCATAAGAAGACGATAAGATAAGAGCTTTTAACTGTTTTACAGCAGTTGTAACCGACTTCAAAAAAGAGATTCTCAATTAGTGTATGTTTTTTGTTTTCTTTTTGTTACTTTTAAAGAGGTTTTTTTCTCAATATTATGTAATATGTTACTTTCATAGTTAACAGTATCATATTATTAATGTAAATAATTGATTTATGAATGAGATATACATAGGTATTCGCGAAAGCTGTAAAAAGGAGCTTTAGCGAACTATTCTTTTACTTCACTAGGCTTAGCTTATAAGTAAAAACTTAGATAACGTCTTACTTTAAGTTATGTAATATTTATACCATGAAGTAATACTACTTTCTTTAGTACTTTTTTCATGAATTGTGCTATTTTAAGCGTAAGCACGTAAGCGTTATAGTTATACTTTAAATTGCTTAAGCTTTAAAATGTCTACCTAATTTCTGGATGTATTTTACATAGTATTGATATCTGTTTATAATTGATGAGGATTTACAAAAATTTGGTTGTTTAGTTTATTCAAATGGATATTAAAAGGTGTTGTTTGTATTTCTTTCAGTGAAATATAAAAACTATTTTAACTAGGAAACCATGTTTAAGTGGCTCGGTAAGACGTCGGAATGGTAACATTGTTCGAGGAAAAGAGGTCAACCCGCGACAAATACAGGTGTAACAATGCAAAATGGAAAATATCATATTTCAACATGAAAAATTAAATCGTAACTGAACAAAATACTAAAATAATCAATGCTTTAATAAGTGAAAACAAGATAAAAGTATGTCTGTATCTTTTACAAACTAGAAATAAATAAAAAAATATATAAATTCAATAAAAAAACTGTTATATAATTCATCATCATTTTCACTTTGTAGTTTCTTTGTCATGCAAACTGTTTAATGTTTGGTTAGTGGTGTATTGCGTTGCGTGTAGAGTACGGTACAGTAACTAGGCGTGTTCACTACGGACGTAATTGTCAATAGTCCTACTGCAGAAACCAAAGCTCTTTGTATGTACGCTCGGATATCCGCAGTGAAATTCTTTCTCTACTTCGTGTAAGTTGTAAAGCGATATTGAACACTTACATAATACATGTTAAGAAAATTTAGGCCAAGATGCGTTCACATGCATCGTAAATATGTAACGGAGTTCGTGTGCCTCCATACATGTTACATATCAGAATATATGAAGATAATGTACTACAATCTACTATTGTCATGATTGTTAACCTACATGGGTCAAAAGCTTCGAAACAGTTACATAAACCCAATATTATTATTGGGTTTAAGTTGATTTTTGTAATGTGGGATAAAACTAGAAATAGAAGGCTAAAATGATACAAATCCAGCTTAATGATTATAGTAGGCTACTTTCGTTTACTAAAAAGAAATAAGTACGTTATGTAGACAAAGGAAACCATACCATGGTAGTCATAACTCCAAGCATGGATCGCGTTTTTTGTCACAATAATAGCAAATTAATGCGAAAGAAATATAAAAAATAATAAAAATATTATGCGCAAGCTCGCAACCGAATGAACGATAAAACACCTCGAGATCTGACGCACTGTTCACTGGAGAACTAAGCACAGGACGGCACCGCTCGGTAGCAAATGTTAGCGATACGCACGAGCTCCTCCCGAGGGCCGCTCACGCAAACGACTTCTAACAAAGCTCTCAAGCTCGAACACAGCGCAAAATAATCTGTAAAGTCGCCTGCAAAACGACAATAAAAATTTTACTTTTTAATGCAGTCGATCGATTAAGCGAGCACTCCACTCATTTTTGATGTGTTTGCTCATTTTATTAAAAAGGCAAGTCGTGTTACTTTGTGTATTTCGCGAGGTTATCGGTATGGGAATGAATCGCGGGAACGTTCACTGAAGGCGGGGGCCCAGGAACGGTGTTCAGATAACGATTCGATGGCAGTGTGAGAGGCGACAGAGTCCGCAGCGTGGTCGCGGGACTAGCCGGCGGGTGAGGGCGGGCGAAGGCGGGCGGCGGCAGGCGACGGCGGCGCGCGCAGTTTCGCGCCCTGCGCGCGCCGGCCGAGCCCGCTGAGCGCGCGGCGTGACCTCGCACAACCTCCCCCGACCACTCATCGAACGTTTCAGCTGAAACGCATTGTCGCCGCGCCGTCGAGCCGAGCCTGACACCGCGGCGTGCCGGCCCACCCCCACAACGCATTACAACAAAAATAAATTCGATCCTAAAATAATTAGTCACTGCAGTCGCTTGTATGAATACATAAGTACTTTCTTTGTTTCATATTACTCATACAACAAAATGTCAAACAAGTAATACATGTTACCAGTCCTTTATTTACATTGACTTCATTCTATGTAGGTACGTCCTAGTGTCTGGCCAGGACGTTAGACCGAGATTGTGAATATTTTATAACTGTACAGATCATTACTATTTCAATTAAAAAAATATCATTAGGTACTTTATTAAGTTTTCTTTTAAAGCCAGAGAGATTAAACAATGTAGAGCAGACGTATTTGACACTTCACTTAAAACTTTTATATAATCTCACTAACTGTATCTATTGATATGTTCTCAGTCAATGTAATTAATTGTATTTAAATTAATTGCAAATAATTTGTTCTACCAAAAAAGATGGAGCTTAACACGATTTTGTAAAATGTTTTATTATATGTCAATACAAGGACACTAGGTGGCGTTCTAAACTCGACATCTGATATAGAACCTTTCAAAGAAAGTACCGGTGAAAAAATGTTGATCCGTAAGACATGACTATATATTTTTTATGTCTTTGATCAAAGATAATTCAAAATCATGATTTAAAATGGTTTATTTTAATTTACGAGTAAAATTAATTAATATTCTGTTTGTATTTCCACACCGTACACTATCTTAATAGCTATTCGATCGTGATCTCATATGAAAATAAAATAAAATTGTTTATTATTGATAAAAATTACGCAGATGACTTGCACATTTATGTTACACCATAATTAATATCAGATTGTAATTCAAAACTTAACGACACAATCTTAGTGGGGATTGAGGTGTGTTAAATCCTTATTGGTGACACATCAAAGACGCGTGATATAGCTAATTTACAGCCCAAATATATTTAGAAAAATTGTTTTGATCACATTTTTTATATAAGACTCTCTTCCTATGCAACCCAACTTTTGGTTAATCTCTCCTTTTTCCATCTTATAAGTATGTATAAATGGGAAACCGGCCTATTCGTACAATTAAGAGATGTTGTTACATGCTCTACCAATGTTATTTGTTTTAACATAATGGAAGGAATGTCAGTGTGTTTATTTATGAATGTTTTGGCAATGGAAACGCTTTCTTAGATAGTTTTCACACACTAACATGTGTAACATAACCTCAAAAACCGTTCTAATACATGCGAGTAATAATTGCGACCTTTAAATTGATTAAAAAATACATGATTAGTTGCAGTCATCGGTTCATACATTTAAACATGCACGATTTTTTTATTAAATGTATTTGAATACTAGCTGTTTCTCGCGAATTCGTCCCCGTGTAATTAAAAAAAGTAAAAAAAAATAGTCATGTTACTAGCTTTTTAATAGTGAAAGAGTTTTTGAAATCGGTCCAGTAGTTTGTGTTATATTAATACATACAAAAATACAAATATTTCTTTATAATGTTAGTATTGCATTGTTACTGGTTTATACATATAAATTAAAACTACAAGGACAACGTGTAACAATGTCTGCAGCTGCGCGGAAGTCAATACATGTTTACTCATGAGTGTAAGATATTTAGAAGTAATCTGTATTACAAACTAATTTTGTGTATAAGCATATCTTATCAATTTAGATATTCAAAAACCTTGTAATAATTTATTTATATCGCATTAAATAGTTTACTAGCGAAGTATAATAATTAATAATGCTAATCCAAGAGTTTAATTTGATTTGCAAAAAATGCATCACATTCTAGTTGTTATTGTTAGTTTCCACTGCAGTAAAACCAGTTGAAAAACATATTAACTATTTATTCTTATAGAGGTAAATAACATTTTGCAGCGCGGTTATAAAAATTCATGGTTAGCTGATGAACAAAAAAGAAATCGCTAAACTTATTGCCAAGGATACCAGTTTTGAGGTATCGCTTGCAGTACTTGTACCTACTTAATATATGATACATTTTGATGTACGTCACAATCTGGACAGGTTTGGTCCAGTTTCTTTTTAATTAGGGATAATTAAAATGCTTCTACAACACTGACCTCTATAAATGGACAGGCTATAAGATGTGGTATACAAACTACCACATCTTATAGCTATCTTATACCTATCTGATGATCGCCACTTTGGCAGTGACGGTGGTGAGGTTTCAAACTAATGATAGAAATAGAATAACTTTTGTTTAACATGAACAGGCGCGTTTAAGTCACAATGAAGCTGTTATTTCCAGCCAATGACATATCCATTTATACACATCAGTGATCTAATAACTTTTTTCTTCAAGAATCGTTTCTCTATCTACGACTTGTATAGGTACTGTTCCAACATTTGTATTTTACAGAGAATAAACTCGTTTGAAGCTTGTGTTAAAATCATGTTTACCTCCATAATAAACAAGTAGCAAACTTGCCTTTATGTTTTAAGAACCGTGAATAAACATCGATCGATATGCCAAAGAAAAGGACACTGATACTGGCTGACACAATAAAGGGTAGGTTCTTGAAGCGAACGAATACGTACTTAAGGGCGTTGACCTTTGTGTTTTAGTGGGTTACATTTGATAATCATCAAAAAAAATCCATTTGCAATTTCCTTAAATACTTCCGTACTCGGATTATTTTAAGAGAGGACTTTAGTGTATATTTTGATTTTCAAATTGATTTGTAAATCAATTTGTGCATAACAAATACATACAGTATGACGTAATTGTAAGTATAATTGTGAATGTTTATTTATTGTATCCGAAGATAAAATTGGCAAGTTAATTGATATCTTTTAAAAACTATAAATATAACATACCATTAAAAATAGTAGTAAATGAATTGGCATACGCACAAAATGACGCACGAACTATATTATTACCAAGAATTAATTGAACTAAATACGAAAAAGAAACTCTGCCGTTGTGTTTCTGCAATTGAGTGGTGTATAAATAGCGAACAATAAATAATGATGTATATTTTTACTATACTATATTTGGATTTAAATCGTAAAAAAATAATCAAATCAGTTTATAATAATTAGCATGTTATAAACGGGTTTCAAAAAAATATTAAGAACGGGCGCACACCTTTGACTATAGTTTGTCTAAATAAGATAGATTAGTTTGATGAATGACGCATATGAAGTATCGAATTCAATTTTTGTAAAGGAAAATGCCATAATAGACAGGTATCGTATTGACGAAACAAACACACACAGCGTACAATTATGAACTATCGATATTCGGTTTAAATAACTATCAAACTCAACTAAAATTATTATTTTCTTATTCACTAATTTAGAGGACAATTTTAGTATTGATTAAAGTGTAGAGAATTTAGCGATGACAGAAATAATAGCGAAATCCAATTCGATTACGTGCGGCTGTAGTAGTAAGAAACATTTATTTACTCTTATTATTCGTTATGGTCATTATTAATTTGAGAAAACAGTTTTTTGTTTATTTCATTAGTTATAACTATAAATCTATCGATTCCAACTTCTATAAGAATAAAAATCGAAAATCGATAAGATTCATGACTCATTTTACACAACCCATCCCTACTAAATTTTATATGAATTGTCAAACTAATCTGAATTATTTAGACACACTATAAACAATCGCATAACTGCGCGATTGTCGATTGTTTTGAAGCCAATTCAACTGTTTAGTTGCACAAATACAAATCAAGTAGTGTGCGCACCTCCATATAAGCTTATAGAAATTAAAGCACGACTAAACAGTTGTGCGATAGTTATGACTTGATAAATAATGACTTTTTACATCAAAAAAATCATATGACGAGAACTAGAATGTGCCAGTTGTCATTAAATAACTAGCATACTGGCAACTCCTTACACATACTAATATAATAAATAGTAATACTAAAAATGTCTTCGTGGTATGGACATGTTATGCGACGAAATGATGGGGACATAAACCAGAAAGTGTTAAGATTGAATGTGGATGGCTACAAAGGAAGAGGAAGACCGAAGAAAGTATGGATGGATTGTGTGAAAGAGGATATGCTTAAGAAAGGAGTGGATTCAGATATGACGGCTGATAGAGATGTATGGAAGAGCAGCACATACTGTGCCGACCCTCCATAAGGGATAAGGGCAAGTGGATGACTAAAAATGTCTTCATCTACTTTTTTCTAATTACTTCGGTTGTGATCACTATTTTTGTATATTGTGACAAGATTTTCTTAATGTGGAATTTAATTGTGCGACATAGATATACTTCACGTTTTGACAAAACGATTGATTGTGTGACTTCGTCGTTCGTGTTAGGCGAGGAATGATGTACCAAAATATAATATTCGTAGTACAATAAAAACTTCATGTTATATTCGTGTTATTTATTGCATTCATTAAAATGTTTGTCTACAAAATATTTAACAAGGAACTACTTACTCACCGAACCAGGAATCACCAGCTTATTTTATGCAACCAGTTAGACCGGGCAGTTCATGTTTTTAAGCGCCGATAAATTCAAAATATAAAAATTCTCATTTTGAATTTCGTGTAATTTCGAAAAAAAACTAGAATATAAAGGTTATGCGGAAAGAACGTGGTGCAAGTTCTTTGTTTAATTATTTTTGATCTTCGGTCTAACTATTACGAAATTGTACTCTTAGATTAAATGACAAACGTTTAAAGGGTATTGCGCGGTTTATATTTAGCCAGTACGGTAAGACAACAGCGGCTAGTCATAGATTGTATGG